AAAAAAAAAAAAAAGGGCTTGGCCACAGAAAGCTAAGTCTGTACACATACTGTGCACTGAGCAGGAGCACAATAAGTTTATTATGCCTGTGTATATCTAAACCTTCCCGGAAGACTGGGAATCTCTGTACAAACTTTGTAGAGTTGATTTTTGCATACACAGGGAACATATCCTGGATGTCCAGGCAACCAGAGAGAGATACCATGTATTGGTATCTTGAATACATTTAACAAATGTCTACATCCTCCCTGCCAAATTTTACAGGGAAGAAAAGGTACAGTTACAAGAAAATTCATTGCTAGTTCTAAGATCTGGTAGAAAATGGCTTTTCTCTTAAAAACAGTAAAGTAGATAGGTTACATTTCTTAGCTAGGAAATACACTGCTTTTCTTTGTTTAGGTAGAGTCCAGACCAACTCAACAATTTTCTCCTGTCACTGACACTTGAGATGATTATTTGAGCCTTAGGATTTAGAGATGGAAAAGAATTGTTAATTTGCCATGATACTTTAAGAGTGTTGTAAGACACTACACTACTAGACAAGACACTATTAGCTTTATTCATCCAATTTATGCAGATGTATCCTAATCTTCCGGAAAACAGAAAGCATTACATATGCAATTCAGATCTGAAAAGACATAGGGCAAATTTTCCATTTTATTTATTCAGTAGCTAGGTAATAATTTAAGTATTATTATTCAGAAGTATTATTTTTCTTATTATTTTTCTATACGCCACATAAATATTTATTTAAGAGAATACATTTGCTTAGAAATTCACCAGGTTTTAATGACTTTCAATTAAACGTACACTGCTGTTTTAGTGGGTAGTTTTAATATAAATGATGGTTTACTGGTGAATTGAGAGGCCTCTGTTTACAAGGCATTAATTCCATATCGAGCCATATAGACCCAGAGACCAACGGCTGTGGCATTGCACATATTGTCACATAAACAGGAAACACCTCAATGTTTTTATGCATTTTCTGTTTCAAGAATATAAAAACTTTCTTCTTCTATAGTCTGAATTAGATGGTGGCCTGAAATGGTTAGATGGTTTATCTGAGTCTCTCTAATGCTGATTTGGTTTTGATCAAATAGAAATGGCTACAAAGTGTCTGTTTAAAAAAAAACCCAAACAAACAGAAAAAAGTAAAAAGGGCTTGATTCTCTTGGGGTTGGACAGGATGACCTTCAGGGGTCCACTCCAACCTCAACTATTCTGTGATTCTGTGAAAATCGAATATTAAATAAATTTGTTAATGGAAAGATCATTTCTTGTCTGTATTTCTTTGTAAAATTCATAGTATTAGGTTACTTCTCTCAAGGACATCAATTTTATGGGAAAAATTATAATCTTTTAAAATTATAATGTAACTGTGAAAAACAATTTCCATGGTTTCTATAGTGCTCACACCAGTCAAGAAATCAAACACGGTGGTGGTGCTCAAAACTGCACTCAGAATAACAGCACAGATTTATATTAATAAAAAATTATAAGTCATGCAATAATTAATAAAATTAGCAATTAAAGGTACCAGTTAACAAACTACTTTAACTAACTAGGCAGTTCTCACTCCTTACCATTGTTGTTGCAATAAATTTGTCAAGGATATTGATAATTTCAAATTTCTGAAAACTAAAGTCATAAACTAAGTCTCCTAAAATAAACCCCTTGTATCCTAATAATTAATCAGTCCAGTTATGAGACTTATGTGAATACCAAAACTTTAACTTTATAGAGTAAAAAAGGCAAAAGCTTTCTTCAAATTATGTGGGATTAAACATTTCCACTGTTCGATTGACATGCAAAAACTATCAGAAATAAGTCTTCAAGTATGTGGTAGTTGAATAGCCCAAATGATTTTGGAAACTAGCAAACACAGAAAACAGTGCTAACAAGACAGTCCACTTCGGTGAACAAAATGTAAGAATTGTCTTCCGTGTAACATGAACTTTTTGTTATTTAGTAACACAGCTCCTAAAAAAAAGATAGGGATATTTTTTGAAATATCTGCTTGTCTCTTACCAAAAAGAAATAATTTATAGAGTAGCAAATTTAACAAAACATGGTTTAGTACCTGCATTCATCTTTCTATTATACCAATTTTTATATGTAAAGATGAAATAGTAAGCATTGGTAATGCATTTTAGACTACTGATATCCAGTGTAGCTGAAAGTTAGATAATAAAAAACTAATTAGTATCTCCTATCTTCTATTTTTAAAAAAAATATTTAAATATAAAATTAGGATTAAATATGAATTACTGCAAAATGTCTGCTTCATACCCAGCTTGAGGATCTAAGGACAGATCTCTAGGAAACTTCACTCTTTTGCTCACAAGAACGGTAGGGTATAAGCCATTGAGTTTAGACACCTCAATAATTCTCTTTTCAGTGTCAGACCAGTAAAGATTCTTCCCAATCCAATCGACAGCCAGTGCATTGGGAACAGCTGTATTGTGGACTACCTAGAAAAGCAAAAATTACATAAATTATTCACCTAAATACCTGGAAAAGGAACAACAATTCAAGAGTTAATAATACCGGAATATTGAGAGGTTGGATATATGACACAGTGACACACAACATGCAAAAAATAGGTATTATTCCCTGTTAAACAATGACACTTCTGAAGTAATGACATTCTTATGTAACTAAGACAACACGACACTTCCCCTACAGTAAGGGAGAATGGAAAATACCATGATGTAGTAAATACCAAATTTATAACTTCCCTGCATTATGCACTAAATTAACATTTTTGTATCTTTCATTTTTCATCTTAAGCTTCTAATTTTCCTTTCTCTTAATTAAAAAAAAAAAAAATCCCTTTACTATTCTGTTTATTTTTCACAGAACAGAATGGCGATGAGGCCGCTCTCCCCATGGCATGCCCTCAAACATCTCTGCTTATTAGCTCACCAGTTCTCTCACCAGTCTACATCGGCATATATTTCATTTTAATATCACAGTGGTGCCATATGTCATCATGACAGACAGACCATAAGGGCACTCAACTCAGGCAAACAGAAAAAGATTACCTACTTGGAAAGTAAATACCATGCTTTTATTTCCAACATTCATATGGCAGAAGAAAGAGGAACTTTCTAAGAATTATTTAAATTTCAAAAGGACTACATTATTAAGGAATAAACTAAGAGACAGAAGCAATTTAGTTACCCCCTGGAAAGCCTACACTCTACTGACAGGGATATGTTATTCTCAAGGTTTTTGATGACTTGAATAATTCTGAGACTTGAACAAATGCCTCTAGATATACATGATTACAAATCTCTTCATGATTGTATGACTCAGTCTTGCTTGGCTGAGAGTACTTAATGTGAAGTGTTGAGTGATATATGAATATTCCCAGTCATTAGAGTCCAACTTCTTCTAGGCTTAAAAATTCTATTCCTGGTAAGGTCTATTCTGATGTATTCTACTCCTGATTACATCCTGACTAGGTCTGTGCAACTTGAACTTAAGGAAAAAAAAAAATCAGAGAGCACAATACTTGAAAATATTTGCAATTTCTTAAGTACTAATAATGGGTTTATTACTGTAGTGTACATTCTAATTTATTGTCATCTTCACCACTAAAAGCATGTGCAACAGAGTATAAACTTTACACATAAACATGATTATGTACAACTGAATGGGTTATTTTTAATTTTATTTACCATTTGAAGATACTGAAAGAAGGGACACTGTGAGATACTTTAAACCAATTTTATAGTTATGAGTATGCAAAAGTACCCTTTCAGGTTATTACGTTATTTATCACCTTATAAAATCTTTTTAAAATTAAATCCAGGCATGCACCAATTTTTTAATATGAATAAAATACTTTATTTTCTACTACCTTAGCACTACCAGTGTCACTGTTTTATAAATGTGTAATTGCAGCAACTGCTGCACTGTAACATGGGACATTTCATGTAGAAATGGATAGCTCTGCAAACTTAGGTAGTGGTTTAGCTACACCACTATCTAGAAGCACCAACCAAAATAATTAGTCTCTCTTTTCTGATGACTTTTCCTTTGGAGGGTCACTTTAAGCTTATTCCAGTCACTGAGATCACCAGTGTGACATTTAATGCACACAATCCAGTTTACTACGGATTTTCCAATAACAGATTTCATTTGAATCTACAATACTATACATAAAACACTGTGTTAATGTTTGAACACATATATGTGAAAAAGTTGTCACCTAAATTGTATAAATATCTACTCCATGATCAGATAGATGCAGAAGAAAAATGAGATGCCATCAGGTTTCCCAGACCAAGAAAGCTAGAGTTGGTATGCTGAAAAGATGCTATCTTCTAAAAGGGAATTCCTAGGTAATATATCACATGGTATCATTTACATTAACAGTACATTTATTTATAGTAAATAGTAAAACAAGAAGAAGGAAATAATATAGGAAATTCATACGTCAAGGGAAAAGGTTGTCAACCATAAAACCTAACTTTCATGACAAAAAAAATACCAAACAAAAAAACCAGGTTTACAGGGAAACTAATTATTTGTAACATCAATTATTAAATACATGCTATGGTAACCAATTAAAATCTAAGTCAAAGAGACAGAAAGTTATCATTTGGCACTGGATAAAAAATTACTGATGGAATATCAGACAGCTACAATACATAATTCTTGATAAATTTTTGCACGCAATTTTAGCTTTCAGAGGCCAAACCTGGGCCAAATTTTTCAATGTAAAAACCCAAATATTCTTATGAAAATGAAATGCACTTATTTTCATAATATTTGCTTTGAATTTGGTATCCTAGTTGAGTAAAATTTCATCAAGATGACACTCATTCCATAGATTGCAAAATACTAATGAAGGAAAAAAGAATCACCCTCCATGCTCCCAACCTAATTTTCTTCTAATGTTTGTTCAAATTTTTGAAAAGTTTCCTTAAAAAATGTAATTATCACTACATCGCTAGAAAGCAACAGGAGCTTTTTGTATTCTTCCATCTGGCAATTACAACTTTTTGACTGGGAAAAATTCTTTGTTCTTCTTGAAATAGTTAAGATTAGAAAGAAAAAGTCTGGGGTCATCCCTGGTCGTGAAAACATTCCCTAAAATAACAAAATATAGGTTCATCCCAAATGGACAAGAAGCTGAATAGGATGCTTTGTAAAATGTTTAAAGGCAATAAATATGGTTCAAGGATTTAATGGATTTTGAACCCCACACTTGCCTATCTCCTATTTTTTTGCAAGAAGAATCTTTGCAGGGACTCACTAGAATTTTTGAGTGCTTGCTGGATTTTAGTTTTACCCCAGTGGAATCAGTGCCATAAATTATGCTCATCCACATTTTTTTTTTTAAGTTCTAAGAACAATTATTTCTGTGTGAAGGATGGAAACAAGGTTCAGTGATGCCAGTCAGTTTCAAACCTTAACCCTCAAAAAGACTAAAGTCGGTGCGCTCTGAGGACCTGTCAGTCCATGTACTAAGCTGCAAATGAAAAACAGAAATCTTTTCTCTCTGCATAATGTACTGGTGGAACAAAATGCACAAGATATGTTACTGCTCATTTGTTCCTTGTTTAAGAAGGTCAGACATAAGAGAATAAGCAAAAAAGAATTCCTTACTGCTTATCAAAAATTCAGGAAAAATGTTCATGTAAGTCAACAAATGTGCTTAATGGTGGATTTGTGAACTTAGTCCACTACTGAGGCAAAACAGATGGGCTGTGCAGAAACGGAGTGCAGTTTTACCCTGGATTATTCATAGCAAAGACATTGAGTTATTTGCACTACCAGTGTAGTGGACGTGAGACAAAAATGAACTGAAGACCACAGAAAATTTTATATGAAGAAATAATACATCAGCGTATTTATGCAGCTTACACCTATTTATACCTCTTTTTTTCTGTAGCGTCCTGTAAACCACACTGAACTGCCAATTCAGTCAACTATCAATTAAATCATAAGGAATTTAGGTCATAAATACAGTCCACTTAGTCCCTATCTTTATTTCAAATAAGAAACAAATGCAATGAAATTTTACTAGGACTTGCTAGCTCATGCTGCATTTGTATGCACATACCAAAACTTCACAATCTGGGTTAAAGCCATGAAGGAGAATTTCCCAAAATACCAAAAAAAAATTAATTCTGGTAGTGACATTATTAATCTCCAATTACCTTGATGTCACTTCCATTTAAACACATTCTGTTTATGCGACTGCCATTTGGTCTGCTGGAATCAATCCAATAGATGAACTCTTCTCTATAGTCGAAGTCTATTGCAATCACATTGTTCAGCCCCTACAAAAAAGAAAAAAAAGAAAGGTCCCATTTATTCAAATGTTTGAATACAAACTGTTGGATAGCATTCAGAATGCAAAATATGTTGCATGTAATATTCAAAATGCTTTATTTTACTGACTGCATAGTTTGAAGTCCCTCTCTCATTCTTCCATACACTACTTGTAAACAACCAGAATAAGATAAAACTTATAAGGGAAATTAATATGGTGACAAAGAACTATCTCACTTCAAAAATGCAGATGACATATGGAACTAAATGAAGCTTCTGCGTTTTTCTTTCCCATTATTAAAATGAACTTTAACAGTAAATACTTTAATGCTTGCTCTATTTCTCTGTTAATTACTACCTTGGGCATTACTTTGGCAAACTAGGTGACGTTCATTTTATAACAATAAATGGAGAAATAGCATAACATTTATTATCTTTATGAAAACTTTTCATTATTAATATAAATTAATCAGGAATTCAAAACAGGGATGTTCAAAAAAGCATTACATTTAATTCTTGAATAAGGAGGCTTTCAATTCTGAGATGATATATTATAGGTACTGTGTGAATATATATATATGTGTGTGTGTGTGCGTCTGTGCGTGTATACACACACACAGAGGTAGTATATACATAAAGGGTGAAAGTTAGAGATCTAGCAGGTATCTGGAAGTCTCCTGTGGCTCCAATTACTAAGCCAAGAGTAAGTAAGAAAGAGTGGTGATGATCGTATTTGAGGTACTCCTATGGGTTGGAAAGAACAGTCATCTAATAATGGCTTTTCATCCCAAATGGCAGACAAGAGAGAGGTATCGTGTTCAGATGATGGCTTTATTTCCTTGTCTGAAAAAGGAAAGCCTTGCCCCATAACCTGCTTAACGTTCTGATATGTAGTGAAAACACAGTTATTCTTAATATACAAAGATGTTGTTATGAATCAAAGATGGAGCAGCAGTGGTCAAAAGAACGAATGCAGTTTGCACTCCTTTCAAAACTGCAAGATCTGTTAAATCAATTCCCTTATCAGCCCAATGACATTCTACTCTTGAGTGGATCAGCAACTTCCCTCGTTAATGTAATTCATAGTTATAGAGGGGATGTGCTGGACTAGCCAGCTCTAAAATAAACAACTAACAACAACAATATTTAATTGTACACAAAGTGATACACAGCTTATCTGCCAACGACCATGCTGTAACACTGTAAATCTATCTTTTCATCAAAAAGTAGAGGAAAGGAGTGATTAGGCTGCACAAGCCATCATTAAAGAAAGCCTGAAAGAACACAGTGTTGAAGGACCACTCCCATTTTCAAAAAACACATATCCATGCACACCGTGTTTTAATAAAACCAGCTGCAGTTCTGTCAGTCATAACTGTGCTGCAAAACACTTTTCCTGTCTCTTCTTCTACTATTAGCGTAACTACATCTACAGATAAACCCCCACCCCAAATTCTTAACAAAGGAGACAACACGTGAATGAATACAAAAGACTATCAAAAATTTATAACATTCTAGAAATCAAAGTCATAATTTGTGAAAAATTAGCCTTATTTCTACATATTCTACAACACTGTAAAAGTTTCTCAAGTATCCAGACTAATACAGAGAACTGACTGCCTGCAAGTCTTTGGTTTCAAGTGTTTTATTTTGGGTCAGTTGAGTTCCAATATTTATCAAACCATCAACTGCAGGTAAAATTATTTCTGTACATCTGCAGTAGAGTTTTCTGTCCAGATGACATCTCCTCTTCGTGATCTAGATGTCACTTTTAAGTCCTTCTAGCACAATTCTTTGCCATTTCTCGTGTAATCTGCTTTTAGAAGGGATAGGGAAGTGTTCAAATGGCATCAGCTGCATTAGTCTCTCACCTTAAACCTGTGGTTTTGTTTGTTTCTGTTACACACAGCACATGGTATCTGAGGCCGTGATTTGCATTGTCTTGGTGCCCCAGTTGAGAAAATGTAGGTAAAAATCATGAATAATGGCAAGGAAGATTCTCTCTATCTACTCTGTCTATGGAAACTAAGAATTTTGATGACTGGGAGCGAAGGAAATGGAAGGCAAAGAACATACATGAGATGCAGTTCAAACAGCTGTACTGCTTATGTATATTTGGAACAAAAGAAAAAGAGGAAAAAGCTGGCACATAACAACTCAGAGAAGACTGAATGAATTCCTACTTTCAGCTCCTTTACTCTGAGTTTATATGAACGACTGTTAGAATAGCAAAGCACAGATCAAATACACAGAGAAGGGTGGGTTTGCTCCTTTGCCAGAGCAGCTCTGGTATTTGCCTTCATCTGGATGATGTCTAAGAAAGAGCTGATCCGTCATAACATTACAAGGACAAAAAGATGTCCTCATGAGGAAGACAGCCCACCTGTTCTGCTGGTATAGCTCCCTCTTTTTGCTTTCAAAACTGGATGCTGTTAAAAGTGCTGCATTTGTAGGATCAAAGGCCAGTAGGTTCAATAGCAGAGGTATTTATTAGACTAGTGAATTAATGTGATACAGAAAACACAGATTCTCTTCAATGGCTGGAACGACACGGTCTCTAATACACCGAGGAGGAGTCGTTAAATTAAAGACCAATGAAGCTCTGAGCCAATCTGTCAGCACCAACCATAAAGAAAATTTACTGTTGCTCCCCTCTTTTCACAGGCTTCTACTAATAGATATACCAGCAGAAGAGGAGAGAGGCAGTGAGATGTAAATGAGAGGTAGTCAGAAGGATTTCAGAAGAACAAACAGACTTTAACATAATGCTTGCTATGCTGAAATAAAGTCAATGTTTAATGCAAGATGGTTAATTTTGTAATTACTGTTGTGAAGACCTGAGCACCTCTCTTGTGACATTAAGATGCACAGCTTACTGGCACAAGAAGTCACAAAAAGCCTAGTGCTATTGACTGGCAATAACTGATTTTCTAGTTTTTCTACAATTCATTAATTAATACTCAAGGAAATAGATGTTTTTATTACAACATATTTTGGAACTCTAATCTATGGTAAGTAACTACACTTAGGTGAAGCATAGAAGCAGAGCAGAAACTGTGAAAATTGACAGCTCTGTACTTACTGAGTGACTTTCTATTTTTGTAGATTTTTTCCAATAAGTTTTTTTTTTCCTGTTATAATTTAAAGCAATTATTTAAAAAATCAGATTTAGCCAAAGATATATGTTCATGAATTGTAATATTGTAAATCTTGGAATTGTCTGTCTAAATAAAAAAAAATAGATTTGGATTGTGACAGTAAGTAGCCCAAATAATACACGGCCAATTTATTTTGGGTTTTTTTTTTTTTTTTTTTCTGAAAACTGAAATATACAAGTTGATGAAAGAGGATCACAAACAACATATTTTTTTTTAGTACATCAGAATGACTGACGAAACAACTGCCTGAGCTTTAATCATGTCAAGTTCAGATAAAATAGTCAATTTAAAATATTATAAAAACTCTGAAGATACTGCAGTTGTTCTATGGTGCATACAATGCCAATTGTAGGATGATGTTTCTGTCAGTTGCACACTTTAGAAAAGAATAAAAGTATTGAGTTAAACTTAGAGCATGGTACTATGATTATACCTGTTTCAACAAAGTGTAGTTGGATCCATCAGTGCTAATTTTTCTTATTTCATGATGATCAGCCAGAATTAAGAAAGGTTCCTCATCTAAACCCCGGGAGAAAGAATATATTAGACTAGCTTTTACGTTAATTTATGGAAAATCAGGAATACAATGCTGAAATACAGATGGTTTGAAAAATAAATGTTACATGCACTGATCAATGTTATGGATGAAAGAAATATTTAAAACATTCAAATGTTCCAAGAAAGATCAATGATGCAGTATAAAAATGAACAAAGCAATCAATTAGTATATCTTTCAATGTAATTTAATTTTTTTGCCTTTGTAATATGGGAACTATGCTGTATTTTATGCTAATTTCATGTCAGAGATTAAATTTGAAATATATTTCATACCACTGGTTTTAATTTCAACATTTACTTTCAAATTATCACTAAGACTATTATTTGTTACGGTTGCAAACCAAGCACATTTTGACCATTGCTTTTTGAGATTTCAGTATTCTGAACAGTATAGACATAAAGAAACAGCTATTTGGACAAACCTTGATTTTCTAATTCTGAACTGAAGCCAGATTTGGCTTTTTTACCCCTGGTTTTCCAGTTTATCAAAAAATATTCCTTCGTGCCATCACTTACTTGGAAACATCTGACACACACTGACACACATAATACTCTGCTCAGCAGTTCAGCTGGCTGCAAACTACAAAAAAAAAAAAAAAAAAAAAAAAAAAAAAAAAAAAAAATTTAAAAATTCTGTCTTTATTTTAGCTCTATTAACAAAGACCTCAGCTAAAATAAAAAAAAAAAAATCAGTACTAATGATTAAAAATTTATTTAATACTTTTATCTACTGCTCATACATTCTGGAATGTACTGTGTTGTCCAACCTACTCTGCTCTTGTACTGAATACATTGCACCACCTTGTTTGCATTTTATGTTCAACTCAAGACATTCTCCAGTTCTTAAATGATCCAAGGCATCATCCTCAGCACTGACTGTTAGTGGTTTGTGGAGAACGGCTGTAACGCTCTGCTTTGTTGTAAAGAGTTCAAGGCGAGTTATGCAAGAAATCAGCATTATGCCAAACGTTCACGTCGGCAACTCCTCGCAGCACACCCATCCTTGCCACAGCACAAACAGCTTTGTCATGATCACTTTTGAAGTTTGATGTATGACAGCTCCAATAAACTGTACTATGATGTGTTCCAGCTCCCCTTCTCACCTGAGTGATCTATGGCTTCTAAATGTACGAGTGGTTTGCAAAGCGTGAGGTAGGAGTAAAGCAAAAAACAGACACTGTTTCTGCCCTCTGCTCCAATTGCCCAGGGAAGCACCCGAGACAGGAACATGTGGCAGGCAGAGGTTCCAGTCTTCTTGTCATTTAGAAAGAAAATAGATTTTTTTTTTTTTTTATATTTAAAAACAAAACACAACCAACCAACTTCGTGTGAGACTGGAATAAGGAGTCTGCTCAAGCTGAACGTTCCCTGCACTATGAAAGAAATCCAGCAGAACGCAGTAATGGGCTTTTCGTTTCTTTCCTGTTGACATTTTGCTCTTCCTTTCACTGACTTAGCAAATCCTACTCACTGAAGCACATCAAAATAACATCAGTGGCATAGAAAGAGGGGTGAGGAGATAACCAGTGTTCTTATATATCTTGAACTTTACTGTGTATTACGTGTAAGACTCATGGATTTCATATGCTATAGGAATAATGGATTTGCAATTTCTGTTATTTTTTTCTGTTCCTTCTTTTCATACCAGGAAGTTTGAAGTACATTCTAATATTCTAAAGTTGATGAAATAAACCAGCAGAAGTCTTTTAAACACTTATCATAAACATACTGTTATCATGTGACTCAGAAGTAGAATTAAGTGATGCATTTTAACTTTCCTAATACTTTTTCTAATAAAGTTACTAACTTTCATAATCCACTGTAACTATTCACTACAAATGATTTGAGCACAATACATACTAAAAATAGAACTTATTATTACATTCAGACATTGGATCACATTCCTATTGTTTACTGAAGAAGTAGTGTGCTTCAAAGTAACTCTGTTTATCTTGCATAAAAGGGTAACACAGACCTTGGGGCTAAGGTATTTCACAAATTATTTTGGGTAGAGATGTAGATTAAAAAAAAAGTGATACCTGAAAGGGATTTGCAGCCATTTAGATTATCAGGCTGTATTTCATACCCATCTGCACACAAGCATTTGTAGGTTCCATAGGTATTGATGCATTGCTGGCTACAGGGAAATCCAGATGAACATTCATCAATATCTATACATGTTTTGCCATCGTCCTTCAGCTTTTTTTTAGCAGGAATCCAGGCCAACATTTGCACTGGGAAAGAAAACCAAATACATTAATTTTTAATTACTCATTGATTCTGTTTGTTACCTTATGTACTTTCTTCTGATTATATATATATAAACTTTTTCATGTCGTCTCAGCTTTTGCAAGTAACATCATCTTAATTACATTGCTATTCATAGTGTTTACAGGCAGACATACCTATATTTCTTTTCAAGTATTGCTGGTGTGATCCTAAGTACCATTCCCTCCCAAATAACCCTGTAGAATGAGTAATTATTCTTTCTTCTTTAACTGAAGAAAAAGTAAAATATATATAAACTTTTTCATGTCGTCTCAGCTTTTGCAAGTAACATCATCTTAATTACATTGCTATTCATAGTGTTTACAGGCAGACATACCTATATTTCTTTTCAAGTATTGCTGGTGTGATCCTAAGTACCATTCCCTCCCAAATAACCCTGTAGAATGAGTAATTATTCTTTCTTCTTTAACTGAAGAAAAAGTAAAACACACCTTTTCAAAAATATGGAAAGGATTCGTCCATGAAAACAATGATGGATGGACCCTTTGGAGTTCTTTATTTTCAAGTACTTATGTGCTTTTTGGTAAAGAAATACAGTTTTCAATATTTTTTTCTTGAAGCACTGATAACATCTAGTACTCTGTGTAACAAATATAGTAATGTGAATGAGAACTCTTGAAGCTAATTTTTATTGGGGACTGATGATCACCGTGGCAAGCTTATCACATGCAACGTGAGCGATGCAAAATACAACTGGGCAGAGGGGTTTTAAAACAGGGGCATAGTTTCCTCAATGGAAAACTTTGTGCCACATTCCCTCCTGTATTCTCTGTATTACTCTCTGCAGAGACCCATGACATGCTTTCTCCACGACGATGCTACTTCAACAAGGTTTTTGCTGTACCCAACCTAGTCTCCAGATCTCTGGGCTATGGCCTCCTGACTAGGACATGGTTTCAGAGGTTTGAATACCTTTAGAGCTAAGCCATGTTGTTAGCTCTCAGTGGGCCAATATTCTATTAAAAATATGAAACATGTTGGGGGGCAGTTAAGATTACTTCAGAGTTAAAACCCTGAAAAAAATCTCAGCTTCTGTTTACAGGTTAGTGCAGTCAGTGCCTAGGGTTTACACAACACCCCAGAAGTATTCCTCTCTACATCTCAAGGCCAAAGAGCAGATTCAGGTGATTCAGAAAACACCACTACATGCAGACAACTAGCAGCTTTATTCTGCAACTAAGGCAACTATATGTTGTTTAAACATTTCTGTAAATGTCTTTGACTTAGAAAAAAAATTGGAGAAAACTGTTATTCCTGCTATTCACTCCAATGTGTGTTCCTTTTTCACAACTGATTTTCTGTGCCCTGTGTACTTCAGTATGATTTGGTGTATTTAAAGTATTGTAGGTTCTTTTCCATAGGTTTAAAGTATGTATTGTACAGTTTTTTTATACAATTGGCAATTGTTTGCTTACTGGAAATAAAAATTTGAATGGTCTTAGTATGGTAGGTAAGCTACTTCATCACAAGGAAGTACAACACACTGGAGTTTTATTATAAAACCGCAGTAGTTAAGAAACAGTTGAGAATTAAGAATTTGCATTATATTATACCACATTTTGCAATTATTCACCTTGTATCCAACAGGAAGATCCTGACAATCTTGAGAACAGCCACTAACTTTCTTACTGAGGCATTCATTAATGTGGCAGCTTTTCTCATCAGATCCATCACTACAATCTTCCTTGTTATCACAAACATCACTTTGAGGAATACACTTGCCATTTTTGCACATAAAAAAAGAGCTGTTACATGACTGCTCTGGAAAACAAAAAAAGAGAACACAACTTTGTGTAGTCTATGAGTATTTGGAATTAATTTTTTCATGGACCAGCTGCAACGTGTGCATGTGGGATGAAACAATTGTGTAAAAATTGAATATTCATTTCTTATTGATAGTATTATAATACCTTTTTACATTTCAGTCTTTAAAGGTTTATTCCTCTCCTAGAAAATGTGTGAATACTTCAGCTTATTTCCTCCTACACATTTGTTTTCATTTAATTGAGAATCCCCTACATTATCTCTGCACAAAATACAGTTCTATAGTTTGCAAAACTTAAAAAGCATGGTTTCTCTCCTCTGGATGCTCAGGTGTTTAGTAACATGACTGACTGAATTCTGAGGCATTCCTTGTCTGAGGACATGCATACATGTTTTTTTCCTGTTTGGCAAGACTTGGAATACATTGGCTCAGCTACATTCAGGTTCTTCAAATCTGAATCAGAATACTTATATTTAAAACAGGTATGTCGCCTTACCTCAAAGCAAATGAGTGATTTCCATCAAAATTGGTATAAAGGACTCGGCTACTGTACAATAAAGTCATAAGATCTAGACAGAAGAAATGGTCTTTCAAAGAGCCACAGAATAGGATATGATATACACACCAGGATTCATTTTCCACTCAAAACCCAGTCAGACCTCAGCAAACTTTTGCCAGTAGAAAATATCAATAAACCAAATTACATTTGGTCAGTCATTTACTTATAAAAATAGACCAGTGTTTAATATAGGAAGAACAACCTAACATCACATTTTGTATTATCTACTTCTGTGTGATGAGTATGCTAAATATATTAAACATTTTCAGGGCAAGCTACAAACTTTGACAATAATGTGTTAATATCTTATTTTAGTACTAACAATTTATGCATTAATGAACTAGCAGCCATTTCATGCCATAGGAACTGATGGCTTGAACTTTGTGAGCTGAGGTTTTGGATGCTGAGAACTGATAACGCATTTTTCTAGCAAGACATAAGGAATGTCACCATGAAAGCACTGGAGATTTAAGCTACGAGGTTTTACAACTGCCTATCTACAATCCTAAACCATTGCTTTCCGAAATGAAGCGTCACACATGTTATTCAAAAAATTAAATACGAACCTGAACTTTTGCATTTTATGTTTATAGGTGCTTCATCAGAACGGTCTGGGCAGTCAAAATCACCATCGCATTGCCACTGGGAATTTAGCAGGCATCTCCCATCAGCACAAGTGAACTCTCCAGGACGACAGTGACGATACCCTAGAAATACAGCCATCAATGACTTCATATTTCACTTCATACTTTCACTATAAAATTCTGCAGATACAAGGCAATGCAAGTAAAAATATCTTTTGTTCCATAAAGAGATAGAAAGCATTATATGCTTATACATGAGCACCTACCAACACAGAGAGAAACCAAATGTCTCATGCAGCACAGTATAGTCACAAAACAATTCCCACATACATTAAACATGTTTATGCAGCTCTCAATCATAAACAGATTTTAGGTTTAATTTAACTTTTTACTATTATTAGGAAATAGCTTTCTGACAGAAATTTTAGAAATTGCTATACCCCCAAAATATTTTTGCGATATGCTTTCTACTATATGCTTTCCCTTTAAAACATGCAGAGCACTAATCATTTTAACCACACTAAACACGCATTTTCCAAGATGGCCACAAAATCAATGTATATAACAGGTACACATTTTCAAAGTTAAAGTAGATTCCTAACAAAAGTTATAATATATAATGAAGTAAAGAAACCACAGACAGGCATTTGTCCTTAGAACGCCTACAGTGTTTAACCTAGAGTTCAAAACCAACAAAGCAGTGGAAAAAATTAGAAAAGTAAGCAAAAATTTAGGTTTTTCTATTCAATTTTGAAACATGAAAGGTGAAAAATTCACAGAAGAAAAATCACCTTCTATTCCTAAGATATTTACTTGTAAGATTCATTACACTAAACCAACTACTACAAAACTTATGTTCCTGTTTGGGAAAGAAAAGTGTAACTTTTCTATGTGTATAAATTCTGCCTCAGATACTCTGTAGTCTTTCAAAAAAGCCTTGCGAGCAAGTTTGTTTACAACTCAAGAAAAAAAAAAACACAAAGTAAATATGGTTATAAAGTAAGAATTATGTAGCAGTATTTGTTCTGATTATAAAGAATAATTTTGCACCTCTTTTTTAAATTTATGCTGAATCATGTTTGACACTTTCCCCTTAAAAAAATGCAGATTGTAAGCTCCAAATTAATTCTTCCAAGAAATAAATCCAAATTATAATAACTACTGAAGATTTGATTTAACTATTGAAGCTGTGAACATTTGAAATGAGCACTCATAACTTTCTACTCTCTAGAAGTAGAAAGTTAATATTAGTTCAAAGTTAATATTTGTTCTTTTTTTCTAATTATTCTATTTCCTGTTATGTAGTATAGCTTTTGTCTGCTGGCAGATGGAGACATAACATTTGACAGTCTGGGATGAGATATCCCTCTCTATCAAGAGCTTGAAACCTCTTGTATATCTTTAGTAGTCATGTAGAAATGTGTTAATGTAGTATTTTCAAAATGCAATATGTTATTACATCAATTACAAACGTTACTTGGAATTAAAATAATTCTGTGGTCTGAAGGCTTGGGGTTTTTTTTCTCTTTTTGTACAGATCATACTTGAAAGAAGACAGGCTGGCTTGATACAGAAAAAAGGTGAAGTTTTTGGTTGTCTGAGACACCTTTGAGTGAAGATTTACAGACCAAGAGCTTTACCTCATGTCTGCAGCATTTCACAAGCATGTCAACATCAGAAAGGTCATTACAAATGTGTAGAACAAGGAAATCTGCTTAATATTGCATCTGCTCTGGATAACAGGACATACGAAACTGGAAACTGAAACCAGAAAATCCTTCCTATTACTGTATTTGTCTTTAGATTAGCCACATAAACAAAGTATTTCATTTCTTGATGAAATTTCATATTCTTGAATAGAATTCCTAAAATTTTTTTTTATGTTCAAGAACATAAGAAATACCTCACAGGATGAGACACTGGCTCATCTAGCTCAGTATTCTGTCTCTAAGAGGGGCAATAGGAGATGCAATTTAGGGAGAATGTATTTTGTTCTCATGCTCTCCCCAGCTAGAACTATTGCTATTTTTTTGTTTAATAGTAAATAATTATTAACATTTCACAAAGAAGACAGGATTATACAATGGAATCAAAACTTGTATCAAAAAAATTTTCAGGGATTGGAATAATTGTGAACTTTTAAAATCTGTTTAGGTGCAAATTCTGATACAAGTAAAAAGTGGTTACTCCAATCACCACTCCCATTTTTATATCATATCTGAATAATACTCTAGAAAACTATACGGATGAAAATAAAATCTAGATTTTAAAATGGACTCTCTTAATTTAGCTTTTAGGAATATATTTCAAACCAAATTTCACCCAATTCAGTAGACTGGCTGCTGAAGAGGGTCTTTTTTTTTTTTATATCAAGATGCAAAGGTCTAGCTCTAGAATTTAATAGAGCTATGATTAGGCTACCTAGTTGGCAGTCAAATCAGAAATCACGTTTAAAAACTTGGTGAATTAGGCGATTTATTTTTACATCCTGACACCCCCTTGAAAAGTCTGGTTTGGAATTTGATTCCTACTCTCTAAAAGTAGTTCCCTTTCTCATAAAAGAATGTAACCTTTTCCTAGAATTACACTATAACGAGTTTACCGTACTAGTCACACACTAAGGTGTGTATTTGATTACCGGATAACAGAAAATTGCATTGGAGCAGTGCAGCACGTAACAAATGTTGCTGTAGATTTCAGTTTACTCAACAGAAATTAAATAGAGCCAGTGCCTGAAGGCAGGTCCATACTACAATTAGATCAGGAGTTTGTACATCCTCTGCTTCTGTTGCTGTTCCCCCCTTCTGTCTCTTTCCAAAAGTCTGTCAAACCATCACTGTTTATTTGCCAGTATTTTAAGGGACCATGCATGCGTATGATGCTATAGAAAACAAATTAAATACACCAGCAAGAAATTATAAGCATGTAGAAAGAAATGCAGCTATTTCCAAAGTCTGTGACTGTTTAGTTCTATATACTTATTTAGGAATTGAAGACTGCTTCTGAGTAAAATCTGATCAGAAAGGTTCTCCTACCCCACCCCACCCTTCAACTTGATCATATAGAGCTAAATAGAGGAACAAACCCATAATGAGTCACGTTACAGAAAGGGTTCTGGCGCGCATAAACGATTACTAACGGAGGAAATAGTTTACAATTTCATTATTGTGTGGGTCCACTCTCACAGCCTCCTTTGATGGGTACACCAAGTGGAATTCCATACCTGACCTCATGGAGAGCTACAGCCCGCTGGATTAGTGGGCCTGTGTGCTCGTAAGCCCGTGTTGCGGGCTGGGGCAGAAGGTGCATGTAACTCTGCTCCATGTGTGTCTGTGTGTTCAGAAGTTTTGGGGACTAGTTATAAAATGGCATTTAAAAACACATAAGATATATCAACATTTTGCAGGTGTGATTTACCCATTGCATTGCTGCTACTGATACTGAATGTAGAGTTCACTGATTTCCAATTAGTTATCTGTCATTAATAAATCAATAACCTGCTTTGATCCTGATTTGGCCTAAACTACATAAACGAAGCAGCTTTTCCTTACAACATATTGTTGGAAACTGCTCCTTTCAAAACACCATGTAGTTTACATAAGTGAAAAGCAAATGGAGTTGGCTAGGAAAGGTGTGTTTGTTCCCTTCTTTCTTCAAGGATCTAGAAGTCTACGCTGGCAAGCGGTGTGGTGCAGTGAGGGAGGAGCAGTAGAATGAAACAGCTGGTAAGAACTCAATACCCACACTAGACACAATTCAGCATTTTACTTCTCACTAGCTCTCTTCTACTCTTGTGGACTTCATGCCCACTACTGGCTGAAGTATATTAGCTGGCTCAGCTTCAGAGGTTTTTTGTGGGTTTTTTTCCTATCAGTTCACTCACTTCGACACTGCTCCATGTGAGCTGAAACACAGGATGTGGGGGTGAGTGGGAGATTTGCTTCAAAGGTGCTCTCCCAATCTGACCTATCTGATGTTAGCTGATGGGACATGGTTTAGTGGGCATGGTGGTGTTGGGTTGATGGTTGGACTGATGATCTTAGAGATCCTTTCCAACCTTAATGATTCCTAGCTTTTACTTTCATTAAAAAATATCCAGCCACGAAGCCAGGAAACATGAAATTGCTACTCTGCCCTTAATTGGTTTAGTGGTGGACTTGGTAGTGTTAGGTTAATGGTTGGACTGGATGATATTAAAGGTCTTTTCCAACCTAAACAATTCTATGATTCTATGTTGATGTGGCAGGAATGGCTGTTGCTTCTTAAGTATCAGCCTACTTCTGGGGAGCACAGAGAGAAAAAGTACAATTTGGTGACTGCCCAGTTCATCACAGGAACAGATTTTTTCCATGTCATATACAGTTCTAAGTAATGTTTATGAAATCTGTTCTTTATATGACCAGCAAACAAACAAGTTCTTATTTGCTTATTATATTATTTTCTTGCAATGTTGCATTATGTGTTTGACTCAAACTTTAAATGAAAAATTTTACTAAATGCCAATACTAAACATGCTTTTTCTTACAATCTTTGGATGTTTACTTGCATCATTTATGCATATACCCTCTTCAGGTGGCTTGTACAATAGAAATGCCTAAAATACATAGCTAGCTATCTTCTCCTGTGGTTCTCATGTCTTGAGGACATTTAATAGAGTAAATAAGCAATATAGATTTTAACTGCACAAAATCAGGCATGATATCAATAACTTGCCTTTTTGGACAGAATATTTGCTCTGTAATTTCCATAAATGTTATTTAGATAGATGGATGTTTCTGAGTGTGACCTAGATATACTGTACAGACATTCACATAATGTAAGAAACCCTGAATTCATATGAATGGTGAAAATTAAACATTCACATATGGCTTTAGCTGATATCATTTAACTGCAGCGATAATCATGACAGAGTTGTTTCATTATTTAATAGAAAAAAGTGTATAAAGACAAATATATATAAAAGGAATATACATATGAACAAGAAATTATAGACTGTACATTTTTTAATTCTATTAAATATTACTAGCAATCAACTGTAAGTCATAACTATAGCAAATAATTTGTCATTGTAGCTCCAGCTCCAAGTTGTATTCATTAATGTATAATTTAAAAGTTAACATTAAAACAATTTTAAAAAGTGAAGAGCTTTCTTTTTCAGTAGCGACTTAAAGTAACAGACCTTGTAGAAGGCCTTAGAGTTAACAGTCTGAAATTTTTCTCTTTACTCTACTTTTGTTATACTTGCCACATTCCAGAGATTCATCTGATCCATCTCCACAGTCATCATCATGGTCACATACAAACTGTTTGGGAATGCAGACTTTGTTATGGCACATGAAAGCATTCTCGTCACAAGTGTTATTAGGAGCTAAGGAAAATACAGTACATAAAAATAAATGAAATTGAGAACAGTAAGATATACAGCCATTTTCTTACAGACAGATGAAACGAGACGTAGTTAGTCTGAGTGGATTCAATGGAAATAACCATAACTTTTGAGTCATACAAAAAGGACCACACAATTCAGTAGGAGAAAAAGCTAATCGTCACCACAAAGATAGCTAAAGAAGTAAGGATAGCTAAAACCTCATGTAATCCAAGACGGAAAGGCTTCAGAAGTTGACGATGTCTACAACTAACCTAAGGTCTGCCTCTGAGGAAAAAAACATTTGGGAAGTAGAGATATCCTTCCTATGTTCCTCTGCTCCTAAACAGAAGCTCTTTAAAATCCGTAAATACTCAAAATATAACTCAGCCTAGAAATGGTAAGTGATAGAATGTGCATTCAGTGGAGAGAACATATTTCAATATTTTTAACCTATATAATTTTTATATACATTAATAAAACAAAACCCCCTAATGAAACTACTACTGAGGTCCTGACACTTTTAATAGAAATTATCTCAGAAGACTGGAAATAATAGTTTATAGGGCAAGAGATGTCAAGATCTGAACAATTAGCCAGAATAAATTGCAGACAGAACTGTATCTCTCTTTTTGATGCACAACCTCTCTGACACACAGCAGCATTTTCTTCAGGAAGAGGAATAAAAATGCATTGTCAATAATGTGCTAATTTTCTATAGTAAACATGCTGTATAATGTCTATGACATGACACACATACTAATCTTCAGCTGGTATGCTTCAGTATATATTAACAAAACCTGAAGATGTTAGGCTGATTAAAACATTGAAGGATCCTGGTACATATGCTCACATGTGGTCCATCAATCTTTTCTAACAATCTTGACAGTATAGGGGTATGCTACTACAGACGTAAACAGCATCTGGATATTGTAAAGGCAAAAGTACCAAGAAAATAAATACTATACATTTTTAATATGCAAACGTACCACAGCCTGCTGTTGACAGTTCATCACTTCCGTTAGGACAGTCTCTTTCACCATCACAAAGCCAGTGTTGGGGAACACAGGCATGGGAGCCTAAACAACTGAACGTGTCTGCTGCACAGGTCACTGAACCTGAAAAAGCATTACATGAGAGTGCTGAACATGTTCTAACTGATTTTTTTTTTTTTTTTTTTTTTTTAATGGGTAATGACAGGGTAAGGGTTTTTGATTTTAAAGTAAAGCTGAAAGAAGATTTTGTCTGCACAGTATGATAAACATTGGCTAAGACTGTATTTTACAGTTAAATTTTGACAATCTACTGTTTCTTCCATTCTTTCCATTTATTCAGTCTCTTAATGTTCTGCAAGGAAATTTAATTTACCATACTTCATGAAAACTATCCAACAGAATAACATTTCAAACCATTTCTACTCTTTATGTTTGCTGCATGTTTGGACTAACCGAACAAAGGAACTCATCTTGTAAACCACATCATCCTCACATCACTACACTCTAGGCCAGGAGGCTTAAAGGTACTCAAAACTTGTGTGAGTCAGTCCCATGTAGAAGAGAACAATGTGCACCAAGTACAACAGTAGTGGGAGTAAGAAAATGTCTGACAGTTCTAATGCAAGTAACTCAATGTATTGTTTATTTGACCAATATTTATTTTTTTAACAGGCTTTTCTCCAGATAAGAATATTATATCCTAGGATTAATTTTACTCTGTTTGGAAGTAAACTTTTGCCCAATTGATTACTTAATGTATTCTCTTAGATAAGTTAATATACTTCATTAAAAAGGAGACAGTGTATTTTCTGTTAATTTTACTATTTTATTAATTTCTAATTAAAACAAATTTTTAAAATTGATTTTCTGTACTATTTGTGCAAGAGAGACAACTTTTGTTTACTTATACTCATTTGCCATTTTTGATACTTCTGAAGTTAAACTTCATATCAAGTAAACATCGATTTTGTAAGACTGAAAAATCTGAAGTCATCCTGATCTCTCTTTTATTCTTGCAATTCAGATCTGCCTCCTGTTCCTAAGGAGAAATACAGCCTTAACTGTCCCCTCTTCATAACTGGTGTGGATTTTTCCCTCTTCAAGAGATGGTCTACAATCTTATGGGTGGGCTTTCTTCTAATAAGTGAGCTACAATGTATTGCAAGTCAAGGTATCAAAAGAAGTAATTCTGAACAACCTTAAAAGGAAAAAAAAAAAAAAAAAGGTGTGTTGTAGTGACACTTTGCAATTTGCTGGCCTTTTCCCCTCCCTTTTTCTATTTTCTGCCTTAAGTTTCCTATTAAGCCTCAGGCCTTGATGTTCCTGAGGGTTTCACATTGTTCTACAGTAGTCCCAGACGAGGTGCTTGTCTTCTCATTTCACACCTTCTCCTTTTCCTAGGGGAGAGGGGCACAGAGAGATCTTCCCTTTCAAACAGACATTGCTTCCAACTCCCCAGTCCTCAGCATGACCTGAATACCATGAAAAAATGTACTGCAGATGGATGTCAACTTGATGTTAATGTAGTAATTAATTTGTATTTTGCCATATTAGAACAGTATAATTTCCACCTTCATCCTTTTCATTTGCTGGCATTTCTACATCTGTGTTTGATTAAGAAACTACTTTAACAAACCACAGCTCTGAACATAAGCTGAAGAGATTTCTTCTCTGTCTACTTAACACTTCCAGTAAAGTTGTCAACAATTTTTCACTGTGGTATTACATATGAAGTACGGAATAAAATATTCTTTGTTGAATGGACTTTAAATAAGATGATTTTTGAAAAGGAACAAATATTTAAGAGTTAAAAGTTGAAATTTAAAAAAGAGAATCTTAAAATCCAGTATAGATAAGGATGGAACCAATGTATAAAATATCACGAAATTGTGACAATATGACTTGACACAATGTGATTTTCTTTTGAAAAGAATTCACTAACACATTTCCAGTCAACAGAGCCCCAGAATGAAAGTAAAATTTTCAATTCCTTATGCAGTTTGAAGGGGTTGGGAATTTGAGAGGAATATTATGCAATAATGCTTATGACTGTATATACAAAAATTTAAAGGGAATAGGAGAAAGAGCTGGGGAAAAAACCCAACTTTAGAGTCTTCAAGCACCTACCACTGAAATGTAAAATTCAAATAGCGATACAGGGGTTTTACCTCAAGGATGGGAATTGGAGAAAAGTTTGGTTCTCCTTTTGCCCATGCTGGTGTGCCATTCATACCTTCACTGATAGATTACACACAAATCACATAGTCCCCATAAAAAGGTATCTAGCTGCCGGTTGCAGGGGGCTGGGGGAGGATATCCTCTCATATCCTGTCCTTAAAGCACATGCTCTTTGGAGATGCTCTGCTTGTTCCCTTTCTACCACCTTCTTGGATCACTTGGTCTCTTTCAGTATATATGATCTGACACAATACAGAACTAAAATTACTTACCGCAAATAGCATCACTCTCATCTAAACCATCTCCACAGTCATCCTCACCATCACAAGTCCATTGCTTAGAGATGCATTTATTTGCAGAGCAAGCAAATTGATTCCATGAACAAGATGAATCTAGGAATGACACCAGCCACTGCTTTTGTTAGGTTCACAACAGCAAGGCGTTCCCTGTATTTTCCAGCACAGTTTAGGAAACTCCACACTGCTCCTTTCTGTCCTCCCAATTTTAGTGTATTAAAACACTCAAACACAGTATAATCCTAATCTTGGCACTCAGGATGTTACCAGTTTGTCTAAGAGTTTGCATTCACCAATACATTTATAACAATAAATAATTAATTAATAGTAAAACATTCAAACTGCTTACATTCTAGTAGTTTTAAACATTTCGCTAGTGGGATGAGGACAAACAATTTAAAAAAATAACTCTGGTTTGTGTATTTCACATGGATGTTATAACCATAGTGAACTGCTTTACTTTGGTAGTAGGGCATAGACGGCACAGTTCAAATTTTTCAACACAGCTGCCTTCTTGGTATTGCAGTATTTAATTGCATCTTTAAAAGATTTAACGTTCTTTTCTCTCACAAGAAAAATTGTTGTGTATTTGCATTCTGTTGTCCCATTTACACTTTTGTAAATATTGAAAATAATGGCATGCTTCTGCATTTCAAAATCAGTCTGCACAACTATTCTAAAGAATTGCTACTATTATGACCTTTCCTGAAAACGTCAGATCATCTGTGTTTCCCAGACTTCCTTCTTTAAGAATAAAATTAATTTTGTTTTAACTGATGACAACAAATTTTAATATTAACAATAAAAAGAATTTTAGGTAATACAATCTAAATTTAAAGGTAGAGTGTTGTAACAACTGCCTCAAATGGGTAAGAGAAATAAGTAGGGAAAAAAGAATGTACTAAACCCCCTTCCCTCTCTCCCACAAAAATTGGCTAATAGGTTTTACAGTATTGCATGTAAGTATGTATGTGTAATAAAACCTGGAAACATAAACACTGAGTCATCACAAAACCTTCTGATTTTCATAGTGCACAGCAGTCCCTAATTCTGAAGCTATAAGATGTCTGTATCAACGTAAACTGCAAACCAAACATGGAAGCATGTTAATGGAAACTAGGCCATGAACAGATTTAAGAAAAAAAGAAAGGAACATACAACTTTCAAGTTTTATTTAAATGAGGAATTGGAAAATTTGATACTGCTTTTGCTGTTCTGCTACATTTTAATTATAGAAATAATCTGTTCAGGTAATCCATACAAATTTAAGTTAAAAGACCAACTCTCACTATGAGCAAAACCAGCCTGCATTGCTCCTCAATTAGACATTGTTTAAGAATCTTAAAAGATCTGAGACAGAATAGACCCTTAACCTGGTTCACAATTGATGCTGTATTTTATTCACATCACTTTTGTTGTTACTTTAAATAATTATACCTGTATGGCCTCTGAGGCAAAGAAATGTCTATTTTTATGTCATAAAGGTCTCTTTTGGTTACTTCCTGTTGGGGTCACACAACATTGATACGAATTGACTATATCTATAAAACTGTCCTAATGAGGAATTATGAAGAATTAGTGAAATTCTTACACATATTAAAATAATAGAAAGTCTGTATACAAATATATCTTTTGGAGAAAAAAAACCCAAACAAACCAAACTGATAGGGCTTTAATTCTGGCATGAGATAAGGTTTAAACATTGGCAGCATAAAGTATTAGAGAGTTGAATCTGAAAATGTAGTATGAAAGGCCTTTTTATATAGCTCTAGATTCAATCTCTGAGATATAAATGCACAGTTCTTTCTGTTTTCAAAGTGGATTAGTGATTACAGAAATACAAATATGATAAAATGCTCACCACAGTGCAATTCATCTACTCCATCCTCACAGTCTTTCTGCCCATCACAAAGCCAGGTGGTCAGAATACATCTTCCACTAGGACAACCAAAATAATTTTCTTCACATGTGGGTTTGTTTTGAACTGTGATAAAATAAAGAATGTAATGTAAAATGGTCTCTACTAGTATGATTAGGAGCCTAATACATTTCTGCTAAATTTCTGAATTCTAATGGACAAAGTGTTTATGTCTAAAAAGGCAAAAAAAAACCCCTATTATTTGTGTGCATACAAATTAGAAAATAGTGATAGCTAAGTAGTTTAGGGAGCTGAAATACTTTATTTATTTAGAGAAGAATCAGAGCACAGCTTCAACCTAAAGTAAAAGGACCTATAGAGGAACGTAGTTCACTTTACAGGTTTTGAGCTCAGGTAGATCAACATTGCTTGTTTTACACCAGCTGAAGAAAATGCCCTTCTGATCTATCTGCCAGCATCTACAAGATATCCTAATTGTGGCAGTATTTCTGTCACATTCACTGGGATAAGCTACAAATCTGATACATGCACTGACTAACTGGAGTTATACCACTGACGTTGGAGCCAGAGATTTAGACTTTGTCACAAATGAAAAAGTTCTTCCTTGCCTTTTTTCTTTGTAGAGAGTGAAAGTAATTTAAGATTTTACTTTTATGAATGCCTAGAAAACCGATGTGAGGAAAGAAAACATACCATATATTTAGTTTCATGATATAAGCACAAATATTCATCTACTGAGTGGCACAGGTTATTTTCAAAATCTCAAGCAAGGTCTTTTCCTGGGAAACCCAGGTGATATGCACCAGTTCCAAGCACTGGAGATCACTGAAGCTCTCTGCAAGGTTTCTATTACTCCTTTAACATATTGGGGCTATTGACACTGGTTTTGTTCCTCCCCCCGCCCCTTAAAAAGAAAGTTAAAATTATCATATTTGTAGATTCTACAGCTGTATGAATAGAAAAAAAGAATAAAGAAAGAAGTGGGATGTCTATGATGACTGGGTAGATATTAAAGATTGTCTAAGTATAACCACCTCTAAATGAATATTTTGCCTTAATTTTCTATAAGAAAAATGACATTGAACAAAGACTGTTAATGGGAATTATCACATTCATAACAGAAACAACACTCAAAAAATTAATGTTCCAAAGGTGGTCAGTTTTGAATGAAATGACAAAGGAAATCACATGTAGGTTGAATTGGAATGGTACTACTTCCAAGCAAAGGCAGGAATGATCCAGGCAATTAGTCACACATTAAAATGACAGAACTTTTTGGCACACATTTGAAAAACAGAGTAAAGTAATACAAATAAATGGATGATGGAATAAAATGCAACATTAGTTTACTTATGCAACATTAGTTTACTGAAGCTATAGCACACTGCCCTCAAAATCTTCTTTGGTATGGAAAAAAAAAACCCCTATAGACAAAGGAAATACAGTAAAACTAAGCTATTTTGATCTTAGTTAAGCATTATATACAGCAGATTCTAAAGAATTATTAGATAATCTGGAGAATATGGAGACAAGAATGAAAACTATAATTTAATATGCATCTTGCTTATAGGGAGGATGAAAGTTCTTAAACTCAGGTTGATTGACACTAGTGCTGAAGTTTTAGGTTCTTCCTGGACCCTGGTACTATCTTCATTAATAAAGTTGGCACAAAATATACGAGAATTCTAACAGAAGCTTTTGTTGACACAATGGACTCATCACACAGAAAAACAGAATATTAAATTGGAATAATCGGATGATGTTAATTACTAGTCTAGCAAAAATTGGATGGTAATTAACAACATTAAATCAAAAGTTTTATTTTTACTAATTAATAACATTTACTAATTAGTAAATATTTATTTTTACTATATAATAATTCTTTGAAGAAAGAGAGAGGTATTGTCACAGGAAGATAATTACAATCTAGCACAAGTCAATTATGAAAACAAACATAAACAAAAATTTAAAATGTATGTTCACTGATACAAGGCAAAAGTATGACTTCATCTGATATACTGGATACTGGTCTGGTATATTCAAGAGAGATGCAGGTTGAGATGACTAAGATGACACAGACAGATATCCCTATCTTGAAAGCACGAATTCTAAAATGCCTTGGCTTATTTGCCATTGCAAGTAAAGAGTAAGGATATGATTACTCAAGGACAATAAGGTCCTTCTCAGCATAAGAACAGCTATAAACTGGAATACATGTAGATTAGAAATTAAAAGAATGAATGAGGTTCTGGAAGATGATAGCAATAGGAGCACTATGAGAAAAAAACACTACTAATTTTTAATTCTATAGATTTTTGTATAAAAGCTCAAGGTGCAGGAGAAGAGATACAGGCTTGACATCCCCAGAGTTTTTTTGCTAGTGCACTGTCTTCAGTTTAATCAGAATTTCATAGGATGGGCCTAATCCTACAAATATGTATCAATAAACCTGTGTTCATTAAAGTATTATCATTCTAAACACAGTTTATCACTTACTTATTTACAGGTATTTTTACATATTGTACTTAATATTTTCAAATGTAATGAGGGGTTCTGGGTAAAGGAGCAAACACATAAATGTCATCGTTCATTAGGTAAGAATTTAATATTGTGGATAATTCACTGGTTAACATGAAATATGGTATTAAATGTCGCAATGATTGGGGTTAAGGATTGTATAATCCCTAAAAAAATCCTACAATCCCAAACAAATTAGAAAATAAATATTTATACTCAATACAGCTAGATATTTATACTCATTCACTATTAAGAATTTAATTTTGTACAACACTTCAGAATGCAGGGTAACCCAAATAACCTATGAAATAACAGAAAGCAGATGCTAAAACCGTGATTATGAGATAATGAGCTTTTCTCAAGACTGCAGAAGAGACTTGCACAAATGTACTATACTCCCGCATGAGGGATCTTTCTTTCCATTGCTACTAGATAGGCTCAGAAGGCAAAACTATTTAAATATTAAAAAATTCATGTTAACTTCTGAAGTTGATTAACCCTTACTCTGGTCATTCTGATAAAAATTGTATCATAAAGTCTCATGAAAGTAGAGGTTTTCCTTCAAATAATATATGCATATACCTTGAAAACGTATGTTTCTGATGTGTTAGTATTCTGCCTTCTCATGAAAAACTGTCAGATGAGACGTCAAAAAAATAAGACTTTAAAATGTCAATTAAGTTTGCTTCTTGTTTCTTCAATGTAAGATATTTACTTCAGTTCTTGTTGTTATTGGGTCTTTGCCCATCTCTATTTTAATAAGTTTTTCATACTCCTCATTTTCCAAGACACTAAGTTTATGATTTTTGTTTCCTCTACATGTCATAAGGGTGTAATGTTTTTCCTGTGGGAGTGCAGAAAACGACAGGAAAAACCGAGAAAAGTAAGGCAGTCTCCAGCTGTAAATACCTATTCCTTTTCTGGAAGCCTGTAGTCTCAGCCCTGCGACTGGGACTCAAGTGTACCATGATCTCTTTTTACTGGCTGAAGACCAGAACAATAACAAAAGCAATAATCCTGGATTTTACTCTGGCAGCCTACCCCAAGTACCTCAACAAAATGTGACAGTTAAAAAAATAAACAAGAAAAGAAATACCATCCACTGAAGTAGTAGTTAATAAAAGTACCTGAGTGATTGTGCAGAAGCTCAATGAGCTTGGCATTTTAATGACTGATGTTTTACTTAAATAAAAATGATTAATGACAGACATAACCTTGAGGAAATAGAAAGCCAGATATTACAGTTTTCTTCAAAGAAATGCAACAGTAATTTGTAATAATTTGCATCATCTAATGAAACACAAAATAAAGACTGGTGAAAAAACCTGCATTCAGTGTTATATCTGTAAATAAAATAATAATATAATAAAACAGCAATAACTGAATAAATATTTTGCAACACAATTAGGAAAAAGACCCAAAAATACAAGAACAGATTTTTTGAGAATCTTTTTCTTTTTTTTTCTTTTTTTTTTTTTTTTTTTCACCATTACCTGGGCATTTTAGTTCATCTGTATAATCTCCACAGTCATTAGATCCATCACATATCCATTCTGGCAGTATACAAAGTGAAGTTGAATTACAGCTAATAAATCCTGAAGATTTTATTCCAAGTTTATAGAAGTAAGCACAGTTTGTATTATCTGGGAAGAGACAGTAAATTACTATAGCACACCTAATACAGATCGAGAGCCTTATAGTTTGGTTTGCAGGTTTAGCATGAGTTTGCGCAGACCATGCAGCTGCTGCTATCCAACTAGCAATGACTATGAATTAACTGCTATATAACAAGGAATAATCATGGAACAGATGCTACGATGAAGCACAAACACAACTTACTACAGTTCTTTTCATCTGAAGCATCTGCACAATCAATGATCTGGTTGCACTGTGCTGATTTTCCAATGCAAATCCCATCTGCACAATGGAATTCTGTTGAAGCACACGTTGAATCTATAACATAAGGTTATAAAAGATGTAAATTTGTGTACTAAACAGACTCTTCAGATGCATATTATACGTACTGTGTTTAAAACTCCTACCTTTTAGGATGAGGCATTCAGAACACACTGTACCTTCCATAGCTAAAAATTCAGTAGAAATATAAGGTCTAATAAACTTGAAAGCGTACGTTTCTAATTTTTAAATTTATTTTTTGAGCCTAGAATTCTCTCTCTAGGTAATTCAACTCAATTCGAGATAATCACCATGTGAGGAAGGAAGAAGCACTTTCAGGACCATCTATGAGTCTCTCAAATTTCTTTCATGTAATACCAGATTGGGGTTTTTGCCTGTATGCTTTTCTCTCTACTCATATTCAGCTAAATGATTAAAAACCATGCAGTGCTTTCAAAAGACTGCTGGTTACTACAGCTACATAGGTTTTAGCTATATATTGTGGAATAATTGCTCCTCCAATCTTTCTGAGTTGTAACTAAGGATTTGTGTTGTCTGCTAGTTAGTCTTTATTCATTGGCTGATGCACAGATATAAATATTCATGTTTTAAGACATAAAAAGAAAAACAATTCTAATATAAAAAGGAGAACAATTTTGGTAAGTTTTTCAAAGGACACAGACATTGCCATGCACCTCAGAAGCAACGAAATAGAACACTAGCTGCTTCAAAGAAGAAACAGTGCAGCAGACGCAGAGAAGAAATCACCCATCTTTCAACCCTTCCGTCTGTAGTAAAGATACTCTCTCATTTACTACTTAACAGCAGAAGCAGCAACTATATTTTCTGAGTTTTCCATAGCCAAAACCACTCTCCTTCTAGAGGACTGTAGATGTAATCCAAAATTGGTCTTCATATCAATCCCAGCATACGCTCTCTCAAACATACCGGTGTGCACCTGCTTGTTTTTGAATTCTAACAAAACAAACACCAGCACCTGTAATTCCAATAAAGTTATATGCATCTTCTAGCTGCTTCTGTTTACATACTAAGTACTTACAGAGCAATATTCTGAAATCACCTTGGAAGTAACTGTCATTTACCTTTACAGTCAAATTCATCAGAGTTGTCACCACAGTCATTTGCACCATCACATACTTTGTTACTTGAAACACAGCGACGATTAGAACATGGCTTGAAACCCTTCCGACAGCCTCTATTTTCTGGAAAGTTAGGTACAAGCACTCAATTTCATTTAGACACTTGATAAATAATAAAAATAGCCTTACATTAAAACCAGACAAACATTCCAGAAAAACATTTTAAATGAAAATGCATTTGAAGCTACAGGAGAAACTTCAGAAATAGTTCACTTATTGTCCAGCAGAAGACCTTGGACCGATAAAGAGATAAAGAATAATACGAAAGCACGATGAGAAAGAATGAAAGAATGACAAAAAAATTAAGGAAAGCCTAATTCCCAATTTTCATTATCTCACGGTATAGGAAGCCCACGTGCTTTAAATGCATTTGTTTAGACACACTGTTGTCAGGCATGTGACAACGTTTGCACACAGCATCAGTAATTCCATTACACAGAAGGAAACATACCAAATTAGGAATAAATGAAGAGTAAAATAACAAAAAGTATTAGCAGAAAGGCTTCTGGATTTCTGAATACTAATACTGCAAGTGTTCTGCTCAAGTAGGTACACTGTTGAAGAATGTATGAATTTTACATATGTTGACATGTTTGAAAATTCAGGAATTATTTACTAAAGCCCTAACCATTGTAGAAGTCATGCCACAAGAATAAATAAATAACGTTCATTGGATTAGGTGATCAATAATAATGAATCCAGCATCCTGTACTCTATCAGATTCAGAAAACAACATACTGTGTATGACCTAGTGCATGACAGAACCACAGGCTGTGACATGAACAGACAGAACAAGATAAAGGCCAAGAGGTACAGGCACACAGGTAACAAGGAGAATTCACTTAACATGCAGGATACATGAATTCACTAAGGTGACTCAGTGATTTAGGAACATTATTTGAACAGTAGTGTTTTAGACACTGCAGCAGGCAAACTCTGTTGGACACAAAAAAACCTGGAAGTGATTCAGTTAGTGATTTTGCGGGGGGTGGGGGGGGAAGAGAAGGATAGAATCCCTTGGGGAAAAATATGAAAGTAAAGTAGACCACCCTTGCATCTAACTTGTTGCAAGAAGCAGACTGATTGGTGGAAAGAATAATGTTATTATAAACTTAAACAGAAAATTGAGTGGAAAGATTTCTATTACAGAGCCATTTTTGTATTTTAGAATACTTCTATTTTGGCGTTTTCTATTCACAATCAGATAAAATCTTATTAAATATGGAAAGCTAAATCAAAATTGCTAAATTAAGGCTGAAAATACTCAATTTTTCTCTTTGAAAAAGCAGCTTGCTGTGGTTTTCCTTATTTTTGTTTTAGAGACAGAAATATGAGAATGTTTGAGATTTTTTTAAAAACATAAGTCATCTAATACAGAAGTTTGTGAGGAAAATATATTCAGGTATAAGTAATTCTACCCATATAATGTCAGGGGGGTTTTAATGTGTGAGTTGGCATTTTTTCTTGTGCATCTTGGCAAGCAGTTGGTACAAATAAATAGAAAAGTCACAGAGGAACCAATATAAGCGTGTATCACCAAAATAAGAATGTGAAGGTGAAACGTCTGGAAATACCTACCACAGTAGAAGAGTTTCTCATCAGACTTGTCCTTACAATGAGCAATGCCATCACAAGTCAGCTGATAATCAATGCATTCACCATTTCCACATTCAAACTCGGAATAAATGTTGCAAGCAGAATTTTTAGCTAAAAATAAAACATATTAACATGTAATTTTTCATAGCTTTTACACTTAGTGAAAATGAGAAAAATGTTGGCTGTGTTTAAAATATCTCCTACACTTCTTTTGAAAACCTAAGTGCAAAAAAACCCCACCGTGGCATCAGAACTTAAAAGCTTCTACAGAGCGGTGGCCTGCAAGACTGCTATACTTCTCTGTAAATTTGTTGCTATTATAGAATCATAGAATTGTTTAGGTTGGAAAAGACCCTTAAGATCATCCAGTCCAACCATTAACCGAACACTACCATGTCCACCACTAAACCAATTAAGGGTAGAGTAATAATTTCATGTTTCCTGGCTTGGTGGCTGGATTATGCAGGATTGAGGACAGATATCTAAATAGCAAACAATTTTCAGAAATTTTATGTGGGGGTGAATTCCAAACCAAGGTAAGAGAGAGTCTGTAAAAGAAAAATGCATAGTCAAATATCCATGAAGGAACACGTAGTGAAGCAGTTTAAAGGCAGTGATTCTGATAAGATGACATTGTAACTACTGTGCTCAGCTTTCCTCTACCCACACATGCCTCTCCACAAGGCCCAGCTTGTATGCAACAGTTTCTTAATAGGTGTTTAAAAAAAACGTTTTCCACATAGCACACCCACGAGCAAGAAGTAAACACTTACCATTACCTAGCAGCTAATTTGAACTCTCAGCTCTGTTTTGTGGCACTGTGCAGCCACTCAGTGTGTACACAGATACCAGCATCAATGCACTACATCCAATGTTGAAGATATAGCCTAACACCCAATGAAGAAAACCTGCGGTTTGTACTTTACCTATTTCTTTTTATTCACAAAAAATCATTGGTAGACGTGTAAATTTTCTGTGTTCTCGCCTTCTCAGAGTGCATGTTTTATCTATTATTTTAGAAGAGAACAAGACGTGCATTTAAAATTTTGACTCCTGCTTTCTCTGGCATATAGATTTTTTTATTAGTTCAGTTAGAAACTAAAAAAGGTTCACAAAATATACACAGAACAATTCAGTCATGAACTTCGTGATAGTACATTTACTTCATGTGTATGGTTATAAACAAAACATCAGACTTGAGAGAAAGGATAAGTATATAGGACAATTCAAGAGGAAGAATAGGGAAATGATACCTAATTATTATGCTTTTTTTCTTGTTTCCATTGTAACTACTTCAGCACAAATTCAAGAACTGATGTCTGCTATGTGCAAAAGTCAAGCCAATACAAATTGAAAACATTTCTCGACTTGATTCAAACATGAAGAAAAATATAAAAGAAGTGCTGAAAATATCAGTTCTGGACAAGGTGAGATCTGATCTTGTACATGATTTATACAGTCCTTTAAACGTTAATCAAGTTCATCGCAGCATTTGTTTTTCTCTCTTTTTCCCCCCATTTTTTAGCATTGTAAGAACTTAGATACTAGGAAATGTCATTCTCAATTACATTTGTAGTTCATCTAGTTCAGCATCTTAGACTTCAATCTTTAGAGAAAGATGGGGAAAAAAAATATCAAAATGTATGTATAGTATAATCTGCTTTCAGTTAAAAAGTCTAACTGAAAACCCTTGTAGAGATTTCTTCAAACCCCAACTTTTCAGAAACAAAGCATTTTCATGCCTTTCAAAACAGTTTATTTGATTAGAAACAAGTAGTCTGGGTAGTCTGATTACCCATATAATGATCCAATCACTCTTTGAATTTTGCTGAAGCTTTGTCTCAAGAATCTTGGCTGGCAGTAAGTTATGTAGACTAATTACATTTTGAAAGGACAGTTAATTCCTTTTATCAGTTGGAATTGTTAACTTGCAATTTTATTGAGTATCCCTTTCAACTGTGTTATGAAGAAAGAAACTTTTGATCTCACAGCTAAACTATAAAGTCTGTCTTAGAATCATAGAATGCTTTGGGTTGGAAGGGACCTTTAAGAGGTCATCTAGCCCAACTCCCTGCAGTGAGCAGGGACAGCTTTAACTAGATCAGGTCTTGCTTCCATCCTTCCTGTGCTAGTCAATCCCAACACTTAATTTCTAAATCTTTTTTTTTTTTTATCCTAACTACTAACTCAGATCAACATTTCCTGCAAACATTCTAAAGCATAATTTAGAAGATGGAATCTTACACCATGGTCTAGATGAGGTTTTAAACCCTGTTTAAATGCTTTTGGAAAATATAAATTCCGTATCATATTATAAAATAAATTAGACCTATGAATTTATTTGCTGAACCTCTTTCACTTCCACTGCTGATCATTGCCTCGACAAGGTAAAGAGACAGGTATGAAAAAGTGCTTTAATTAAGGTTCAACGATACAGCCCTAGACAGACCCAATGGATGCATGTAGATACTTTCATCTATCTCAGTAGTAAATATGATAGTTATTTGAAAATCATAACTATTACTAAGAAAGTAGTATCTTACTACCACAATAGCAGTTATGTTTTTCATCTGGGTTGTGGGTTTTTTCAGCCTCTTTGGGAAGCCAGCAGCCATCTTTCTCTCCCACCTCCAAACCAACCAGGACTTTTATTGCATTCATGCAACAAGTTTAAATAATTACATGAAATAAGTAAAGTCCATTACATTTAATGAAGGTAGGATTAGGATCAGTGAAAGATTTGTCTCCTTACTGCTGTAGACATTAAGAATTCTAACTCTTCTTTGTATTTTCTCTCATTCTAATTAATCTAGGAAACTGGAATGTTTATGATATAAATACCTTAACCAAGCACTGAAAAACTTTAACGTGCTATAATTTGATCCTGTCTTCTTTAGCAGCCACCAAGGTTTCTGCCCTGCTGTGAGGAAGTAAGAAAACCCACTAGGCTCTTGCCAGCCTAGCAATGAAGGAAAAGTTCCTTGCCAGATTCAGGGAAGGAGGCAGCAGTTAAGCCCAAGTCGTCAGCAATTCCTGTACTTTACCACACTCTATCTCCTGGGTAAAGGGATGGGAGAACGCTAGCTGAGCAAGCGATGGACCTGACCCACAAGACCAAGTGCAGACTGGTAGGCAATGGAACTTAAGGAAATTTTCCAGCTCCAAGAGGTCTCTTGAATGATCAAAATCAATAAAACCTGACAGTGTGGGAGGGTGAAATAAGGTGATTATATAAGCCTGGTGGTAATATTCCATATGCAGGAAGCAGAAACATTTGACTCTAGCAGAAAATATGTTTTTGTAAAGTAGTAAAGTCTTAATTAATATCTTTGAACCTTTAACAATCAGATACCTGTCCATACAATCTCAACTGATCACTAGACTCTGTTACTGGACTAAACATCTGCTACTCTGAAACAGTGTTATAGTTTAAACTGAAATCTTTATCACTGCAAATCATCTGTAAAATTCATTGTATCTCAATTATACAGCTAGAGAAAGCAGGTTTTGAGTAACAGCTGTAAACGTAATACAGGTTAGTTGTACACTACTTTACTACTGCATCCTGACTCTAGATCAGCTGTATATTCCCTGTTGTGAAGGATAAGAGTTTTAACCCTCATACTTCCATATATTTAATTACAGAACCAGGTCTTCCTGTGAAAGCTCAGTGACCTTATAATGCACTACATAAAGACTTAGTTAACAACTAAAAACAACATGTAAGTGTGAGCCAAAGACAAAGGTCAAAGGTGAACTATGAAGTGTGTGAAAGTGCAGATTAAAACTGTAGCAACTCACGTATTTGTTTAGGAAATGTTGGTAGCTACTGTATGATTATACTGATCATATGCATAATTAATATATGCATGTGGTTTCATTTAACAGCAATATTTTAGGAAATTAAGCAAGAGGCAAAGCTATGAATCCAAAATAAACAAGGCAAAAGAAATCTTAGGATTAAAATCTTAGCTACAATAACCAAGCAACTAGCTTGGTATGGCATAAAACTAATTACAGGCTCCTCACAAAGCTATGTAGCTCAGCGCCAAGCCTAAGACTCTGATTCTAAAGGACTGGGGTCCAGCCCTAAGGATGCCTTAACCCAATTTAAAATCACACCAGTACTAAAAGGTGCATTTCTACCCTTTCCCTCATCACAGTCTTCTGTTCTCAATAGTTCTGTTCAACTGGTGCTAGTGATCTCACAGTGTCAAGTTGAACGAGCTCTGCTCACTGATCCCACCAAAACTAGGTCTAAACCAAAAAAATCCTGATTCCCAGTCAAGCAAATTAGTTAAGTCATCATTCAGTTACACAGCTGTTATTGCTGATGAAAGGCATATGGTTGGAGGGAGAATAAGACTGTCCTTAGCAGAAACACACTTCTTGTTCTTTTTCAGCTGATCACTAAACAACAGTATTCTTTCCTGTTATGAAAATACTGATATGAAAATACTAGTGACTCAGATGTACCAGGAAAGCCTAATATCATTCTAGCATGAAAAATATCAGTGGTGTCACCAAAATAAACTCTATTAGCAAAGGAGTAGGTTTGCAAAATAACCTGTAGAGGTATGCCAACGAAGGACTACATCTCTTCATATCCCACACCAACATAGCTCTGCATATACAGACCAGCATTTTAGAAGTGATTCGGTATCAGCAGAAAAGAAGCCACTTGTTAGGCTGTTCAGCAGCAACAGACTGCCACAGTAGAAGCTGAAGCAGGTAAACTAAGCTTCTAGCAGGATGGTAAATCTTGCTAAATCACATACAAAACAAATATATTTTTTCTGGAATGTTATAGTGACTCTCTATTGTTATGATCAAAGAAATTGATTTAGAGAAAGCAGGTGGGTCAAAGCTATGAAACAGAAGCAGCAGAACAGGCATCCTTAGCAGATAGATATGGAAGTGGAGAACTTGTTCTAAGACTTGGGATATCTGCCCCACAGAGGTAAAGGTCCAATAAACCACTGAAATTTGGAAGGCATCTCTAAGTGTGACAGAAGAGCTACAAGACAGTGACATTAACAAAGACATAAGGAACCGTATGGTTCCCCCAGCAGCTTTCCCTCCATTCCAAATCCAGCCAGCTATACTTGTTG